AATTTTTCAAAATAAAAACTGCATTTGTGAGAGAGAGACTCAAGAAACAGCCCAGCCCACAAGCTGGATCAGACTCCAGGTTTGGATACASAACTGAATTACCACTGTTCACCAAAAGTCAGTGGGGCTGATGACTGCTCTCTAAAAACCAAGGCAGCAAGAAAGATCATGCACAAGTAATCCTTCATTTGCAAAAGGTGAAGGACACAGACACACAAAGGCAGTTCCTGAGGCACCACAGGAGCTGTTTGAAGCCAGTTGTTACATCCCAGTCCTGCTCTGGAGACCCATTATCATTATCAGTCKGTGCAGAGTCATCTAAAGTTAATATGTTGATTTCTGCTGACTGAGGGCCTGACCCGAAAGTCACAGAATTACAGGATGGTTGAGTTTAGAAGGGACCTCTGGAGGGCATCTTGTATCAAATTTGGATAGATCTTTTGATGCAGTAATATACAATTTTCTTTCTCCCAGAAAGAAAATAGACCAGAAAGAACAGCCAGTTCAGGGATATGTCAGGCATCCTGGATCACAACTGAACACAGTGCTGAAAATAGGTTCCTTCCTAGCTGGTGGTTGCATTTTATTTGTTTAATGCCCAGGTAAGCCCRAAGTCTTATAGATTTACCAAAATAAAGAGGATGATGATGAAACAGCTTAGTGTCACAGACAAATTCTACATGTGAAAAGAATAAAAGCCTCTGATGAGCAAACAGTGATTTTTTTTTTCTTCCAGCAACTGGAACTAGTGTAGATTTTTGAATTTAAAAATGTCACTCTCCTCCAGTGACAGGTACATGTAAGGATTTGGTCTGAATTAACCACTCGTTTCCACTTGTGATAGCCACATGAATCCTGGCAGAGCACTGACTCCATTAGCCCAGCAAACCTCGACTAGCCAGTATTTACCTTTGCTTTGCAGCTCACTGAATCCATGTTTTCAGGAAATATTTTTACAGATAACTTCTGAATTATTTTAATTATGTACCAGGTAATGTTTCTTTTCACATTGTTCCATCTTAACATTCTGCTCCTACATTTTTAAAAGTACACTTTAATGATTCTCAAGTACTAATTGAAAAACAAATTTTCAATGCAGAAATTAAAACCAATCTGAAAACAGATTATGTATCATTATCCCACCTGGAAGAATGCTACAAACAYCATAATCCTATCTCACTTGCAACACAGTAATGAAGTTAAAAATGGTCTTAGTGCTCTTGAAAGGAAACTTCTATTCAAGAGACAACTTAACACAGTTGTGAGAAAAAGGTATCATTTACTCCAGCACAGCTCTGCCTAAATGCTGGCTGAGGTTTCCATGGTTAACCTAAATTAAAATTAATTCCACATTTTTTTGGCAGAAGTTCTATAAACTAATTTTCGTATTTTCTTCCTCAGCTATAATTAAAAACATGGTGAAAAGGCTTTGTATGCCTCAAGTATGGTAGTATACTATAGCAGACATTTTTATTTTTAAATGGCTACAATGCTCTCGTTAATTGAGACCAAATTAAATGGGAAAGCAGAGTGCCATTATTGCCTTCCTATGATTATACAGTTAACARTACATATACCCTGTGCCTACAAGGCCACACCAGCCTGTGTGCTAGACTGGGCTGCTTGCTCTAAATGGAAGTGAACCTTAATGCAGTTTTGATCAGCAGTCATCATATACTTGCTTTGTGAGAATTATTAGTCAGCAACTCAGAAACAAGAGAAAATGACAGGGGAATAAAAAAGAGTTTTTACAGCAAAATATCCAAAGTAAAGAGGTGAAATATATGGTATGAAAGGGAAACATAAAATGAAGAGCAGTTTAGCTTGTGGTCACATGCAAGATCTACTTTGTCCACATAATGAGTGAGCAGACAGGTTCAACGTGTGAGAAGTGCACAAATGGTCTAGGTCTCCCTGGATGTAGAGACAGGACACAAGATGCTTCCAGAAGAATCCTCTCAGCAGATTGAAACCACTCTCATTCCATAAAGGCTTTCTGATGACTTCCCAGAAGGTAGCCCACACGTGTACATCCAGATTAAGGTCATTGGGATTATGAGCACTCAAAGGTATGATGTCACATCACAGACAGCTTTAATAAAAGCTGTCAGAATTCACTGAATTATCATCTTATTGGCTTCTATCAACACCCACTGTTGGCAGCCCATCACAAATTCCATTTCCCATTGTCTCTTCATCAAATACCTATATGCTTTGCAGCTAATTGAAAAAGCATCAAAATAAACATAGAATACAAACCTTTTCYACATTTAGCATTTTGAATTAGTCCTGCATCCTAAAACTCAGTGACAGTTTGTTAACATACAGTTGCTACACTGCTACAGAGAGAACAATCTCTTTGAGACACTCTAGGTTAGGTAACTCACGTTTGACTCTGGTGGATGAAGCACAAATCTTGATTTTGGAAATGCATGTGTGGAGGTGGGGAATGAAAAGCACAAGTGTGTTTTCCTAAGACCTGTTCAAACTCAATGGTCTCACCTGCTTTCCCATCCTCTCAGCCTAAAAGGCTGACACTCCTAAACTGAAAAAAGGGTTTGGATTGAAATGATAAGCATGTGCTATGTCTGAACTGAAATATATTGGCCTAGCTTTGTCAACAGCACTGACTCCAAAGTCAGCTCTACAACCACTCATCAGTAAACCATTGGGGAAGGAATTGGTAAAATAAAGCATTTATTTAGCATTTAGAATTCTCCACTAGCAAATAGAAACCTTCACTTGAAGTAGAGGAACTTGGTTTGCTAATTTTAAAATACACAAACAGAAGTAACCCTATTAAAAGTCTTAAGTGACATTTATTCAGTCAATGTGRTAAGAAAGACTTCTATTACTTGTAAAAGTGCTTTTCCCACTCTCACCTTTCAATCATTATTTGCACACAACCCAAATCACATCTGAATAAATTCCACTGCCCTTCCTTACACACAATCCTGCATTATTTATATTAATGTAGAATTATTAGTGTACAGGATAACCAAACACTTCACCAAGAGAGTTGACTACAAATTAAAGAGGAGACAGCTTCCAGTACAAAAACTCCAGAGGAGAAGAGATCTCCAAGTTAGATGTGGAAGCATCCAGAAACAGAAAGCTGCTTCTTTTCAATAAGCAAAAAACAATGGCTGGAAGAGGGGAGAACAAAGTGGAAAGTGAGAAATGATCAAAGATTGTACGTATATGAGAAGACCACAGACAAAGCAGATGAGAGCATATAAGATGAAGGARGTTCACTTGATTTAGACTCATGGGCATTAAGACAGAAATAGCAACCGTGCACAGGGGAAAACTATTACTTTTGTTAAAGGGAGGGCTAGGAGTTAAATTTTCTCAGCTGTCACAGGCTTTTTGGTTAGTGGTAAGGATGTCATTCCATCCGTATCTCAGCTCCTCATCAACAGAGCAGGATGTTGTGCAGAAAAGCCACAAATGATTCAGGGGACAGTCAAATGATAAGGGCAAGCTATGAACCTACAGAGACAGCTCTACCTAACAGATCCCTAATGAAGGGGAAAAAAGGACACAGAGGGAGAGACTGGCTATAATGACACAACCTACTTGAATTTTAGAGAGGAACACAGATGTTACAGGCCATGACAGATGGATACACAACCACAARAAAGAGAGATAAACCTCTGAACAAAAAAAAGCCTGGAGAGGAAGAAAAGTTTCACCAACTGAGAAGGATGACAACACAGAGAAAGATATATCCAAATGACCAGGCTGGTTAAAACTAAGAGCAGAACAAATCTCTGAGTGTCCCCTCAAAAGAAGGCTCTCTAATTTAAGGGAAGTATTATTTGATCAGCAGCAGCTACTACTGGAGTAGTGGGTACAGTCTACTACTACCAAATATGAAGTAGAAAAGCATGGGAAAGTTATAGATGGGAAGAAATAGGGTTCCTGCTGGAGGTGGAAGAAGGGAAGCGATGGAAAATTTCTTCAAGAATGGAGAAAATGGAGAAAAGACCTTAGGCTGATGTTGTTATGTGTGACAAAGTCTAAAAATAGATTCTCCCTTTCAGGTGTGAGTTATGGGAGAATGGGAGGCAACYGGTACCAGGAGTTATTAAGTAAGATATAGGCAGTCACAAGATGAAACTCATGTACCAAAAGAAGCAAARGAGACAAGCAGTCTGCAAACAGACTGTCTGGTTGCAGAGAGGATCAGAGGGACAGAGCAGACAGACAGCTGATCAGAGAAGAAATGTTCCCTGAGGGCACATACAACCCTCCTGAATACATGTGACTTCATTTGAGCAGGCTTGAGCATACAAAGGGCCCAGAGGGAGGCAGAGAATGGATGGGAYTGAGGCAGCACATAGTGACAGTATTTCCTTGTAAAATGCAGAGGAACTGCTGGAACTTTTTACTATCCCTCTGGCCATTCACCTTCTTTATTTGTTCTAACCAGCTCTTGAAAATGAGTGTAAGATGTTTCTAAGATGAGTGTAACCAACAGTACACATTTAAGTTCTTGCTAACTCAAACTTCCTTCTTTGCTATTTATTCTTTTCAGAGTGATGACTAAGTAATATACAATAGCAAGTCCTTGTCCCAAGCAGACTGCTCCTGCCCTGTGAAGTCTAAAAGTCCAAAACTGACCATGTGTGGAAGTAAGCAAATAATGTCATCTCCATGTTACAGACTGAGAACTGAGGAAGAGAGCTAGTAAGTGATTTTCTCAGGATTTCACAAGAAGTCAGTGGCAAAACTGAGTATTGAAACCCCCTCTCTTCAACAYCCATCGAGTGCTTCAGTAACAAGGAGAGTGTCTCTTCTAAGGAAATTCCCTTTCACACTCAGAGTRTTCTGGTAACAAGAGTCTTTGAGTGTATATATCGACCTTAAATCTTACTGAACCATGTTACAACTTTTCCTCTCTCCATTTCCAGCTTCCTTGTAGCCACTTTTGGTCCGAGCTCAAATTAGCAGTGCTACCACCTGCATCCACAAAGTCAACTTTTATATGTACTCACAGTTCTGTTGGTGAAGTTACTGAAATCTGTCACTAAGATTTGCTTGATCATCTCTGGTGAGGAGACCACCACAAACATCTGGCGACCWATATAATACCTAGAAAGAAATAAAGAATCAATTTAGCAGATGGTGACCACAGAGAACCATCTCCTTCCCTAAAATATCTCTTTTTGCTTGAATATACTTGCAGTGAACAAATAACACAGAAAATGTAGTCCCTTAGGTAAAACAGTATCTTTTCCCAGCCCTCTCAACTGTTAAATTAAGATGCATGGCTCTGGAATTTAAAGGAAACAGCTTAAAATCTTTTACTGATTAATCAATACTTGGCCAACATTTTAACGTAAAGGTTTACACACTATGGTCGYTCTGAATTCTGTACAAAGTGATGTAGTATCACTAAACCAAACTATAGAGGAGCAAAACATTAGAAACCAACTCAAATAATCATGAAAGGCKTACAAAATTGAATTTCCTGTCATCAGCCACATGAAATGTCTTTTCATGGCAATGTCTATGAGTCTTTGCAGAAGTCCCCCCAGCGTCACTGCAATAAAAGCACACTTCCACCACTTCTAATAGCACTGGAACTGAGTGCATCTCAGGCTCTGCATTGCCATGGACAAAGCTTACATTACACTAATAGGGAGAGTTAAAAAAAAGAAAAAAAAAGGAAAAGAAGTTTTAGCAAGTCTAAGAGAATTAGTAAAACTTCAGAAGAAGAATGGGTGATAGGGATGTCTCTGCCTGTAAAGCCTCTATGTCATTGCTCCCATTTTAATATGACTTTTTGGAGCCAGGGTCTGCCCTTCTGGGTCTTCACACCATTGTGGATGCTGCAGCAGTACTGGAACCTATCCCAACCCTACAAATTCCAGGGGTGCAGAGCTCCCTTCTCCAGCACCATTCCTTCCAAAGCCCACTGGCACTTGCTTGGCTGCTCTGCTGGGGGAGGAAGAAGCAGCACCAGCAAGCAGAGGTTGCTCACAGTCCCTACCTTTGTTGATTGCTGGCTCAGAAAGATCATTGAGGCAGAACTGTCTTTCCTCCACCAGGAGAGAAGAAGAAGAGGCTGGAGGCAGGCACAGGAGGGGCAGCAGAACACAGCTCACAGCAGCAACAGCACAGATGCTGCAATACCATGGTAATATCTGTGCCTAATCGCTTTGGTATGATATAGCTGAGTATCGATAGATTGCWTATCACCTGTCTACACTGCAGCAACTGAATAGACCAGCAAACCCTGGGCTGAARTAAATATAGTAACTAGAGGTTCCCATGGCAATGAAGGCTGCAGCAGCCTGATTTCTTCAAGGGCAAACAAATCAGACAAATATCTTGATTCCAAAGTGAGGTTTCACAGTCCAACTTGACCCCCCCTACCACSTAAACTCATAACAAACAAGTGGCAGAGAAGAACAAGAACACAATACTCTTCAGGAAGGAAAAGATCATCATTTCTTTTCTGGTGGGTTTTCAGAGGGAACTTTTATCTCCCAAATGCAACCCACAGGCTCTATTTGAACCTTGGATATGGGYGGTGTGGACTGTGGGAGGTACTTTTTTCATCCCTCCCAGTTTGCTCATCCACAGCAAAAGTAGCTGTCTGTTAATTGACAAACCTTTATTCAGAATCCTCATAGGTGCATACAAAAGAGCTCAGGCCTCAGTTTAAAGACAGTTTTGATCACAGCAAAAGAGGATAGTGCCCTATGGGCACCATTTGCATRTACTTTGTACAATTTTTCTGGCATCAGAGAGGCAACACAAGCTCTCAATGCAAAGAGAGCTGCTCTGAACCTACCCAGAATGATCAGCCACAAATACTGACCTCTCATGCTCACACCTCATTTTTCTCTTCCTCCCCAAGCTTAGAAAGTTCCATGTCACATTTAATGCTTAGTGACTGATGGTCCTGCAACAAATAGCTTTTCACAGGGATGAATTTCCTGACACCAGATTATAAACCTGAATCAGATGCTGATTATGTCTACCCAGACAGCTTTAACTCTGACCAGCAAGGGGCACCCCATGATACACCATGCAAAGAATGTGTGTGTAAGAGACGCACTTCGAGTTTATTTCAAACCTGGGAAATTGCAAAGCTCCAGCTCCTGTCCACTGGGATAASAGGACAGAACTCACAGTAGGAGCCTTTATGTCACAGCACACTTTGTGCTTGAAAGCACTCAGGATTAAAAATTTGGGACAGGAGCATCTCCTGCTCAAGCTGCTTTTATGAGAAAGTGACTCACAAGCCAAGCTTATGCAAACAAATCTATTCATCATCCTCCAACTCAGACCAGTCACCCGAACTCCCAGTGCTGTCTCCACAGCTAAGTTCTTTCTTTTTTATTTACTCTTCTCTAACTTTCTAGCTATAGGCACCTGCTTTTCCTTTATTTATCCAGTTATAAATTAGGGCAGAGAAGGAGTGG